GTCAGTTCTGGGTCAGTTCCTGGGCTCCCCTCACCACGGAGCCGGGGTACAGGCGTTTGATGCTGTCCATGATCTCGGCCTTGCGCTGCTGCCGGCTGCTCTCCTGGCGGTCGATGCGAGCGTCCCCGAGCTGCTCCATCACCTGGTTCAGCTCCTTGTTGATCTCGTCGATGCGCCGCTTGGCCAGCTCCACCTCCTCGGTCAGCTCGCCCTCCAGGCGCTTCTGCTCCTCCAGGGATTGTCTGGGGGGAGAAAAGGGCGTTTGGGGGGAGAAAAAGGGGATTGGGACACCCTGGGGACACTCCAGCCCCCTGGGGACACTCCAGCCCCCCTGGGGACACCTTGGGGACACTCCAGCCCCCTCTGGGGACACCCTGGGGCCACTCCAGCCCCCTGGGGACACCTTGGGGTCACTCCAGACCCCCTTGGGACACCCTGGGGACACTCCAGCCCCCTGGGGACACTCCAGCCCCCCTGGGGTCACTCCAGACCCCCTTGGGACACCCTGGGGACACTCCAGACCCCCTTGGGGACACTCCAGCCCCCCTGGGGACACTCCAGCCCCCCTTGGGACACCCTGGGGACACTCCAGCCCCCTGGGGACACGTCACCCACTTGCTGGTGGCGATGTACTCCTCGAGCTTCTCGATGCGCTTCTGGTTCTCCTCGATCTCCCGCAGCTTCTGCTTGATCTTGGCCTGGGCACAGCGGGGACAGGGGGGCTCAGGGGGGCTCCGGGGGGCTCGGGGACGGTTTGGGGACACGGGGGGGACCCCAGCTCACCTCGGTCTCCACCTTCTTCCTCTCCTCCAGGTCCAGCCGGTCCTGGTCGGCCTTTTGGTCGCGGTTGAACTTCTCCAGCTCCTGGGCCAGCGTGGCCGCGCGCTTGCTGGCCTCCTCCTTCAGCCGGTGGTACTTCTTCACCTGGGGGGGGACAGCTCACCTGGGGGCTCACCTGGGGCACAGCTCACCTGGGGCACAGCTCACCTGGGGTCAGNGCGCGCCCGGGGGGGGGGCTCCCCTGGGGGCTCACCTGGGGGTCAGCTGGGGCAGATCACCTGGGGGCTCACCTGGGGTCAGCTCACCTGGGGGCTCACCTGGGGAACAGCTCACCTGGGGGCTCACCTGGGGGGGTCACCTGGGGGCTCAGCTGGGGCAGATCACCTGGGGTCAGCTCACCTGGGGGCTCACCTGGGGAACAGCACACCTGGGGGCAACTGGGGTCGGCTCACCTGGGGGGGCTCATCTGGGGAACAGCTCATCTGGGGGACTCACCTGGGGCAGCTCACCTGAGGGCAACCTGGGGGCAACTGGGGTCAGCTCACCTGGGGGGGGCTCACCTGGGGGTCAGCACACCTGGGGGCTCACCTGGGGGGCTCAGCACACTTGGGGGCTCACCTGGGTCAGCTCACCTGGGATCCACAGAACCCTCCTAACCTTAATCCTCACCCTTCCCAAATCCCATGGGATCAGCACACCTGAGTGGGCTCACCTGGGCCAGCTCACCTGGGCCAGCTCACCTGGAGCTCCAGAGAGCCCTTCCCAAATCCCATGGCATCACCCCATTCCTGGTTCTCCTCCAGGGTCAGGTCCCTCCCAGACCCCAAACCCCAAATCCCATGGGATCACCCCATACCTGGTTCTCCTCCAGGGTCAGGTCTCTGCCCTGGCTCTGGCCCTCCTCCATCCCTCCCAAACCCCAAATCCCACGGGATCACCCCAAACCTGGTTCTCCTCCAGGGTCAGGTCTCTGCCCTGGCTCTGGCTCTCCTCCTCCATGCGCTCCTCGAACTCCTGCCGGGATTTCTCCACGGACAGCATCTCCTTCTCCAGCTCGTCCATGTCCGCCTTGCGTTTCTTGTACTGCTTCTGGGCGTTCTGCAGCGACTTGCGCGCCGCCTCCAGCTTCTTGATCTTGTGCGAGGTGTTCTCCTTGGCCTTGATGTACTGCGGCCGCTTCTGGTTCAGCTCCGAGTCCTTCTCCCTGCCGGCCACACGGGGGCTGGGACTTGGGCCTGGATTGGGGCCTGGGCCTGGCTTTGGGCCTGCTTTGGGCTTTGGGCCTGCTTTGGGAGTTTGGGCCTGGTTTTGGGCTTTGGGCCTGGCTTTGGGAATTTGGGCCTGGTTTTGGGCCTGGTTTGGGAGTTTGGGCCTGGCTTTGGGCCTGGTTTGGGAGTTTGCGCCTGGTTTTGGGCCTGGCTTTGGGGTCTGGGCCTGGCTTTGGGCCTGGTTTAGGAGTTTGGGCCTGGCTTTGGGCCTGGCTTTGGGCCTGGTTTGGGAGTTTGGGCCTGGCTTTGGGAGTTTGGGCCTGGCTTTGGGACTTGGGCCTGAATTGGGGTTTGGGCCTGGTTTTGGGCTTTGGACCTGGTTTTGGAGTTTAGGCCTGGTTTTGGGGTCTGGGCCTGGCTTTGGGCCTGGTTTGGGAGTTTGGGTCTGGTTTTGGGTCTGGTTTTGGACCTGAATTGGGGTTTGGGCCTGGTTTTGGGCTTTGGGCCTGGTTTGGGAGTTTGGGCCTGTTTTTTGGCCTGGTTTTGGGGTTTGGGCCAGGCTTCGGGCCTGGCTTCAGGCTTTGGGCCTGGTTTAGGGATTTGGGCCTGGTTTTGGGCCTGGCTTTGGGTCCTGTGCCTGATTTTGGGGTTTGTGCCCGGCCTCGTTTTCTGTGCCTGGTTTTGGGGTTCGGGCCTGGTTTGGAAGTTTGGGCCTGGCTCTGGGGTTTGGGCCTGGTTTTTGACCTGCTTTTCGGGTTTGGGCCTGGTTTGGGGTCTGTGCCTGGTTTTGGGATCTGTGCTCAGTTCTGGGATCTGTGCTCAGTTCTGGGGTTTGTGCTCAGTTCTGGGATCTGAGCTCAGTTTTGGGATCTGAGCTCAGTTTTGGGGTTTGTGCCCGGCCTTGTTGTCTGTGCCTGGTTTGGGGTTTGGGCCTGGTTTGGGGTTTGGGCCTGGCTTTGGGCCCGGCTTTGGGGTTTGGTGCATCCTTCCCTTCCCATGGAGACAGGCTGGGAGAGCTGGGATTGTCCAGCCTGGAACCACCTGGTCTGCAAGGTGTGAAGGTGTTCCTGCCCATGGAACAGGAGTTTAAACCTGGTTTTTAAATATTCCCACCCAAATAATTCCAGATTTTGGAGCCCCCTGTCACGGAAATAGGCTGGGAAAGCTGGGATTGGGTGAGATTTTGAAATCCCTGGTCTGGAAGGCGTCCCTGCCCACGGAACCAGAATTGAAACCTGGTTTTTAAACATTCCCACCCAAATAATTCCAGGTTTTCCCACCCAAATAATTCCAGGTTTTGCCACCCAAACAATTCCAGGGTTTTGGAGCCCCTGAGCCACAGAGACAGGCTGGGAGAGCTGGGATTGTCCAGCTTGGAACCACTTGGTCTGGGAAGGTGTCCTTGCCCATGGAACAGGAATTTAAACCTGGTTTTTAAGTATTCCAACCCAAATAATTCCATGTTTTTGAAGCCTCTCTGCCATGAAGACAGGCTGGGAAAGTGGAGATTGTCCAAGATTTGGAACCCCCTGGTCTGTGAAGGAGTCCTTGCCCATGGAACCTGGATGGGAATTTAAACCTGGTTTTTAAGTATTCCCACCCAAATAATTCCAGGTTTTTGAAGCCCCTCAGCCACGGAGACAGGCTGGGAAAGCTGGGATTGCCCAGCTTGGAACCACCTGGACTGGGAAGGTGTGAAAGTGTCCCTGCCCATGGAACCTGGTTTTAAAGTATTCCCACCCAAATAATTCCAGGTTTTGGAGCCCCTCTGTCACAGAGACAGGCTGGGATTGTCCAAGATTTGGAACCCCCTGGTCTGTGAAGGTGTCCTTGCCCACGGAACCGGAATTTAAACCTGGTTTTTAAACATTCCAACCCAAATAATTCCAGGTTTCTGAAGCCCCTCTGTCATGGAAACAGGCTGGGAAAGCGGAGATTGTCCAAGATTTGGAACCCCCTGATCTGTGAACGTTTCCCTGCCCATGGAACTGGAATTTAAACCTGGTTTTTAAATATTCCCACCCAAATAATTCCAGGTTTTCCCACCCAAATAATTCCAGGTTTTCCCACCCAAATAATTCCAGGTTTTGACACCCAAATAATTCCAGGGTTTTGGAGCCCCTGAGCCACAGAGACAGGCTGGGAGAGCTGGGATTGTCCAGCTTGGAACCACTTGGTCTGGGAAGGTGTCCTTGCCCATGGAACAGGAATTTAAACCTGGTTTTTAAGTATTCCAACCCAAATAATTCCATGTTTTTGAAGCCTCTCTGCCATGAAGACAGGCTGGGAAAGTGGAGATTGTCCAAGATTTGGAACCCCCTGGTCTGTGAAGGAGTCCTTGCCCATGGAACCTGGATGGGAATTTAAACCTGGTTTTTAAGTATTCCCACCCAAATAATTCCAGGTTTTTGAAGCCCCTCAGCCACGGAGACAGGCTGGGAAAGCTGGGATTGCCCAGCTTGGAACCACCTGGACTGGGAAGGTGTGAAAGTGTCCCTGCCCATGGAACCTGGTTTTTAAGTATTCCCACCCAAATAATTCCAGGTTTTGGAGCCCCTCTGTCACAGAGACAGGCTGGGATTGTCCAAGATTTGGAACCCCCTGGTCTGTGAAGGTGTCCTTGCCCACGGAACCGGAATTTAAACCTGGTTTTTAAACATTCCAACCCAAATAATTCCAGGTTTTGGAACCAGAATTTAAACCTGGTTTTTAAACATTCCAACCCAAATAATTCCAGGTTTCTGAAGCCCCTCTGTCATGGAAACAGGCTGGGAAAGCGGAGATTGTCCAAGATTTGGAACCCCCTGATCTGTGAACGTTTCCCTGCCCATGGAACTGGAATTTAAACCTGGTTTTTAAATATTCCCACCCAAATAATTCCAGGGTTTGGAACCAGAATTCAAACCTGGTTTTTAAACATTCCTACCGAAATAATTCCAGGTTTTGGAACCAGAATTCAAACCTGGTTTTTAAATATTCCAACCCAAATAATTCCAGGTTTTGGAACCAGAATTCAAACCTGGTTTTTAAATATTCCAACCCAAATAATTCCAGGTTTTGGAACCAGAATTCAAACCTGGTTTTTAAACATTCCAACCCAAATAATTCCAGGGTTTTGGAGCCCCTCTGTCACAGAGACAGGCTGGGAAAGCTGGGCTTGTCCAGCTGGGGTGGGACTGTCCAGCCTGGAACCACCTGGGTGGGAATTTAAATCTGGTTTTTAGACATTCCCACCCGAACCACTCCAGCTTTTCCCACCCAAACCACCCCCGTTTTCGGGCTCTCCATCCCCAGGCCCAGGCTGCTCACTTGATCTCCTTCTCGATCTGCTGCTGCTCCCTCATCATCTTGCCCAGCTCCTTCTTGCGGTCCTTGAGCTCGTCCTCCACCCTGTCCATCCTCTTCTTGTCCTTGTCGATCTCGCGGTTCTTCAGCCCCAGCTCCTTGTTGAGCTTCTCGATCTCGGCCTCGTTGTGGAAGAGTTTGAAGAGCTGCAGCTGCACCTGGGCCCGAACCACCTCGTCCTTGAGCCGCTGGTACCGGTCAGCCTGCGGGGCACGGGCGGTGAGCTGGGCTGGGGCTGGCTAGGCCAGGCTCTGCCCAGGAGCTGCTCAAAGCTGGGCTGGGGCTGGCTAGGCCAGGCTCTGCCCAGGAGATGCTCAAAGCTGGGCCTGGCTCTGCCCAGGAGATGCTCAAAGCTGGGCTGGGGCTGGCTAGGCCAGGCTCTGCCCAGGAGCTGCTCAAAGCTGGGCTGGGGCTGGCCTAGGCCTGGCTCTGCCCAGGAGTTGCTCAAAGCTGGGCTCGGGCTGGCTAGGCCTGGCTCTGCCCAGGCTCTGCCCAGGAGCTGCTCAAAGCTGGGCTGGGGCTGGCCTAGGCCTGGCTCTGCCCAGGAGTTGCTCAAAGCTGGGCTCGGGCCGGGCTAGGCCTGGTTCTGCCCAGGAGCTGCTCAAAGCTGAGCCTAAGCCTGGCTCTGCCCAGGAAATGCTCAAACTCAGGCCTTGGGCCTGGCTTTGCCCAGGAGCTTTTGGAGCTCAGGGTCTGTGCAAAACCTTCCCAGCCCTGGCTCTGCCCAGAGGCTTCTCAAAGCTGGGCTTTGGGCCTCACTCTGCTCAGGAACTGCTCAAAGCTAGGCCTAAGCCTGGCTGTGGCCAGGAGCTGTTCAAACTCAGGGTCTGGGCTGGGCTAGGCCTGGCTCTGCCCAGGAGCTGCTCAAAGCTGGGCTGGGGCTGGCTAGGCCAGGCTCTGCCCAGGCTCTGCCCAGGAGCTGCTCAAAGCCAGGCCTGGCTCTGCCCAGGAGCTTCTGGAGCTCAGGCTCTGTCCAGACCCTTCCCAGCATTCCTAAAACCCTCCTTTCCCAGAATTCCCAGCACTCTCCAAACTCACTTTTCCCAAGAATTCCCAGCATTCCCAAAGCCCTCAAGCCTTCCCAGCCCCTCTTTTCCCACATTCCCAGCCTTTCCCACCTCCTCCTTCTCCTGCTTGGCCTCCTGGCACTTGGCAGCACAAAATCCTTGTTCCCCACCAATCCAACCATTCCCAAACCTTCTGTCCTGGGGCCCTGAGCATTCCCAAACCCCTCTTTTCCCAGGATTCCCAGCCTTCCCAAACCCCTCTTTTCCCAGGATTCTGAGCATTACCCAAACCTGTTTTCCCCAGGAATCCAATCATTCCCAAACCCCATTTCTTCAGAATTCCCAGCCTTCCAAAACCCCATTTTCCCAGAATTCCCAGCCTTCCAAAACCCCATTTTCCCAGAATTCCCAGCCTTCCAAAACCCCATTTTCCCAAGAATTCCCAGCCTTCCAAAACCCCATTTTCCCAAGAATTCCCAGCCTTCCAAAACCCCATTTTCCCAAGAATTCCCAGCCTTCCCAAACCCCTCTTTTCCCAGGATTCCCAGCCTTCCCAAACTTGTTTTCCCCAGGAATCCAACCATTCCCAAACCCCATTTTCCCAGAATTCCCAGCCTTCCAAAACCCCATTTTCCCAAGAATTCCCAGCCTTCCCAAACCCTCTTTCCCCAGATTTCCAAGCCTTCTCAAACCCCTCTTTTCCCAGAATTCCCAGCTTTCCCAAAGCCTCTTTCCCCAGGAATCCAAGCATTCCAAACCCCTCTTTCCCCAGGATTCTGAGCATTCCCAACACCCTTTTTTCCCAGGAATCCAGCCATTCCCAAACCCCTTTTTTCCTGGGACTCTGAGCCTTCCAAAACCTCTTTTCCCAGAATTCCCAGCCTTCCCAAACGCCTCTTTCCCAAAATTTCCAAGCCTTCCCAAACCCCACTTCCCCAGAATTCCCAGCCTTCCCAAACCCCCATTTTCCCAGGATTTCCAGGCATTCCCAAACCCTTTTCCCCAGGATTCTGAGCATTCCCAAACCCCACTTCCCCAGAATTCCCAGCCTTCCCAAACCCCCATTTTCCCAGGATTTCCAGGCATTCCCAAACCCTTTTCCCCAGGATTCTCAGCATTCCCAAACCCCTCTTTTCCCAGAATTCCCAGCCTTCCCAAACCCCATTTCCACAAGATTTCCATGTCTTCCCAAACTCCTCTTTGCCCAGGCTTCTGAGCATTCCCCAAACCTGTTTTTCCCATGAATCTAACCACTTCCCAACCCCGTTTTTTCCCAAAATTCCCAGCCTTTCCCACCCTCTCCTTCTCCAGCTTGGCCTCCTTGCGCTCGGCAGCACAAAATCTTTGTTTCCCATTAATCCAACCCCGTTTTTTCCCGAAATTCCCAGCCTTTCCCACCCCCTCCTTCTCCTGCTTGGCCTCCTTGCGCTCGGCAGCACAAAATCTTTGTTTCCCATTAATCCAACCCCGTTTTTTCCCGACATTCCGAGTGTTTCCCACCTCCTCCTTCTCCTGCTTGGCCTCCTTGCGCTCGGCAGCGATGTTCTTCTTGCGGTGGTAGTTGAACTGCGTGTCCTCCTCGGCCTTGACCATCTCCTTCTTGCGCTTGTCGTACTCGGGGGCGAGCTCCCCCGAGCGGCTGATCTCCTCAAACAGGGCCGTGCGCTCCTTGGGGTTCTTCATGGCGATGGACTCCACTGCTCCCTGAAAAACGGGGGCAGAAAGGGTCCTAAGTCCTGTCAGAAATGGTCCTAAATCCCTGCAGGGTCAGGGATCCCTAAATCCCTGAGAGGGATCCCTAAATCCCTGGGGATCTCCTCAAACAGGGCCGTGCGCTCCTTGGGGTTCTTCATGGCGATGGACTCCACTGCTCCCTGAAAAACGGGGGCAGAAAGGGTCCTAAATCCTGTCAGAAATGGTCCTAAATCTCCGCAGGGTCAGGGATCCCTAAATCCTAAAAGGGAATCTCTAAATCCCTGAGAATGATCCCTAAATCCTGTCAGAAATGGTCCTAAATCCCTGCAGGGTCAGGGATCCCTAAATCCTAAAAGGGAATCTCTAAATCCCTGGGGATCTCCTCAAAGAGAGCCGTGTGCTCCTTGGGGTTCTTCATGGCGATGGACAGCACTGGTCCCTGCAAAAACAGAGGCAGAAATGATCCTAAATCCTGTCAGAAATGGTCCTAAATCTCCGCAGGGTCAGGGATCCCTAAATCCTAAAAGGGAATCTCTAAATCCCTGGGGATCTCCTCAAACAGGGCCGTGCGCTCCTTGGAGTTCTTTGTGGTGATGGACTCCACTGCTCCCTGCAAAACGGGCGCAGAAATGATCCTAAATCCTGTCAGAAATGGTCCTAAATCTCCGCAGGGTCAGGGATCCCTAAATCCTGTTAGAGAGGTTCCTAAATCCCTGCAGGGCCAGGGGTCCCTGAATCCCTGGGGATCTCCTCAAACAGAGCCATGCACTCCTTGGGGTTCTTCATGGCGATGGCTGTCATGGAAAAATGGGAGTCAGAGAGCCCCAAAATCCCACAGGTGGTCCCCAAATCCTGCCAGGAGGGTTCCCAAATCCCCAAATCCTGGCGGGGTGGGAGATGCCAACAGAGAGGGGCAGTTCCAGGAGCAGTCGATCCCAAAGAGCCCCAGGAGCTCCTGTGGGTCCTTCATGGCACTCTGGGAAAGGGCTCAGGGGGTTCCTAAATCCCATGGGGGGTCCCCAAATCCTTGGGGGAGTTTGGGGGATCCCTGTGGGGAGGGGGATGGGGGAGACCCTCCCCCAAATCAACGTGGGGGGGTCTGGGGTCTCCCTCAGGGAAGGGGAGGGACTGACCCCCTCCTTCATAATCTCAAAATTATTTTTGGGGTCAGGAGAGTTCCTAAATCCCCATGGGGGGGTTCCCAAATCCTCATGGGGGGATCCCCAAATCCTCATGGGGGGGATCCCCAAATCCTCATGGGGAGGGCTCAGGGGGTTCCTAAATCCCATGGGGGGTCCCCAAATCCTTGGGGGACTTTGGGGGATCCCTGTGGGGAGGGGGATGGGGGAGACCCTCCCCCAAATCAACGTGGGGGGGTCTGGGGTCTCCCTCAGGGAAGGGGAGGGACTGACCCCCTCCTTCATAATCTCAAAATTATTTTTGGGGTCAGGAGAGTTCCTAAATCCCCATGGGGGGGTTCCCAAATCCTCATGGGGGGGATCCCCAAATCCTCATGGGGGGGATCCCCAAATCCTCATGGGGGAATCCCCAAATCCTCATGGGGGGGGTCCCCAAATCCTCATGGGGTGTCCCCAAATCCTCCTGGGGTGTCCCCAAATCCCCACAGGGGGCTGGGGGATCCCTTTGGGGTGGGGGAATGAGGGCGATCCCCCCCCAAAAACCATCCTGGGAGCCCCCAATTCCTGGGAGCACAAAAACCTCCCCACTCTGCTCCCCCTGAACCTACACAAAGCCCCCCAAAACCCCCTCCAAACCTCCCCAGAAGCCCCAAAATCACCCCCAAAAAACCCCAAAATCCCCCAAACCCCCTCCCCACCTGGAAGACGAGGAAGTTCCTGGCCTTGATGAGGATTCCCAACTTCTCCAGCTCCTCGCTGTACTCGCTCAGCTGCACCACGCGGTTGTTGATCTTGTACTCGGAGGAGCTGCCTGGCATGGGGGGTTTGGGGGGTCAGGGGGATCCCCCAAACCCTAAACACCCCAAAATGTGCCCCACAAACCCTAAATTGTGCCCCCACAACTCTGAAACCCCCAAAATGTGCCCGCGACCCCCCCCCAAAAACCATCCTGGGAGCCCCCAATTCCTGGGAGCACAAAAACCTCCCCACTCTGCTCCCCCTGAACCTACACAAAGCCCCCCAAAACCCCCTCCAAACCTCCCCAGAAGCCCCAAAATCACCCCCAAAAAACCCCAAAATCCCCCAAACCCCCTCCCCACCTGGAAGACGAGGAAGTTCCTGGCCTTGATGAGGATTCCCAACTTCTCCAGCTCCTCGCTGTACTCGCTCAGCTGCACCACGCGGTTGTTGATCTTGTACTCGGAGGAGCTGCCTGGCATGGGGGGTTTGGGGGGTCAGGGGGATCCCCCAAACCCTAAACACCCCAAAATGTACCCCACAAACCCTAAATTGTGCCCCCACAACTCTGTGACCCCCAAAATGTGCCCCCTTAGCACCCACACTGAGACTCCTCCTTCGCAGAGCTGCCTGTGCTGGGGGGTTTGGGGGGATTTGGGGGATCAGAGGGATGCCCCAAATCCTAAACACCCCCAAAATTTGCCCCCCAAACCCTAAACAACCCCAAAATATGCCCCCCAAATCCTAAACACCACAAAATGTACCCCACAAACCCTAAATTGTGCCCCCACAACTCTGTAACCCCCAAAATGTGCCCCCTTAGCACCCACACTGAGACTCCTCCTCCGCAGAGCTGCCTGTGCTGGGGGGTTTGGGGGGATTTGGGGGATCAGAGGGATCCCCCAAATCCTAAACACCCCCAAAATGTGCCCCCCAAATCCCAAACACCCCAAAATGTGCCTCACAAACACTAAACTGTGCCCCCCACAACTCTGTGACCCCCAAAATGTGCCCCCTTTGCACCCACACTGACACAGGTAAAGGTGTGGCCTTGGCCCCCTCCTCACAGCTGCCTGTGCTGGGGGTTTGGGGGGATTTTGGAGGATTATGGGGCTCCCCCAAATCCTAAGCACCCCAAAATGTGCTCCCAAACACACACCAGAACAGCCCTAAAACCCCCAGAAATGCCCCAAACGCCTGGAATTGCCCCAAAACCCCAAAAATGCCCCCAAACCCCCACCCTAAACCAGGCCCAAAACCCCTGCAACTGCCCCCAAACCCACCCCAAAATCCCCAGAAATGCCCCCAAAACCCCCAAATTGCCCCAAAACCACCCCAAA